TGTATTAAATAAGCAAGAGACATAACAGATTTTGACCAAAATCTTAATCTTACTCATGCAGAGAAGTTGAGTAGGGCTGCAGATAGCAATGCTTACCAACCAGGCTAGCTTCTCATTGAATTAGCCTTGAATCACATTTAAAGAAGCATTTTATACCACTCCAGTCTGCCACATCATTGCATCATACATGTATGTAAATGAGGAGACATCCATGGCTCCAGCCTCATCAAAATATTACACTTTGTTCTTAGATCAAGGACACTGCTCTCATTCCATTCCCAAATCTTTGCCATGTGTATAATGAAGATGACTTTTTTCCTGACAGAGGACCTGTCCTAATTAGATAAACTACTTCGGGGAAAAATAGCATCAGCAATGCATTTCCGTTTTCCTGGAACCACAAAACAGTCTGAGACTGGAGGCGACTAGATTTCTGTTCAGTTTTTCTGAAAACTTTTTAACACCTCTAGTAGTGACCCGCTAGGTTCAAATTAGCTCCCAATACACTTACATTGAATAGAATAGATTAGAAAATCCCTTTATTGTCCCACAATTGGGAAATTGTGAAAATGAAAAAATTTAACCAAAGTAAATTAATTCAGATTGTGTCTCACTATTATCAATAAATATAATACAAATGTGAAAAATATAAATGTTGAAGAAAAATTTTGCATTGTTTTATGATTTTTGGCAAGGGCGCCGGCATGTTAAAGTACTCTAAGCGGTGACATCACAGGTTTGGTTTATTCAGTTCGGATGTAGGATTTTCCCCTGAAATTGAAGGATTGACAGTTCAAGCCCCGTCTCCGACTTTTAGTGTTGTTGTGTCTTTGGGCTAGACATTGCATTGTCTACTAGGGGTGGAACGGTTCACAAAATTCATGGTTCAGTTCGGTTCACGGTTTCGTGGTCACGGAGTTCGGTTCGGTATATTTTTATTGTTATACCGAAAAATAAAAAAATGTATAAAAATTATAAAAATTTATGAATATTTTTTTAATTAAATTAATGAAAAAATGGCAAAAAAATAATGAATTGTAATTATTTTTAATGATTTGCAGAAACCATGGATCATTTCCGCATGTTTTGCTGCTTTGAATCTAATCATCTGACGCATGCCCTCTACGATCTACAAGGAACTCAGAGCGGAGCGGACGGGAGCCACAGTGGAGGCTGTAGGCTTTGCTTTGTGCAGGCGGTCTGGAGCGCAGCGGGGTGGAGCGGAGCGGGGCGCTGATGGAGTATGTGGGATTTCGGGGTTAGCATGATCATTTTGTTGCTTTTAGCATAAACAAAACGTGTTGCATAATGCTTGCAC